GCGCGGCCGCCTCTTCGTGTGCCTGTGGCATCCCGCGGACACCACAACCATCGTGGAGTACGTGACGCAGTCCGACGCGTGGCAGCCGGTGGCCGAGCTGCGGCGTCCGCAGAGCTATGGCCACTGCATGGTTGCCCATCGCGACTGCCTGTACGTAGTGCGCAACGGACCTTCCGACGACTTCCTGCACTGCGCCATCGACTGTCTCAACTTGGCCACCGGCCAGTGGACAGCATTACCTGGCCAATTCGTCAACAGCAAGGGTGCACTCTTCACGGCCGTGGTGCGCGGTGACATAGTTTACACAGTCAACCGCCTGTCCACGATGCTCTACGCCGTCGAGGGCGGCACCTGGCGGCTGCTCAGGGAGAAGATCGGCTTCCCCCGGCCTGGCTCCTTGCAGACCTTTCTGCTGAGGCTGCCTCCTGGATCCCCTGGGCCTGTGGCCTTGCCTTTGCCAGAACTGTGACCTCTAAACTGGCTTTCAAAGGAAACACCCGAGTTGTCCTGAACCGAGGATGTGTGAAACTGGCCTGGGGAGCCACTGAGAACTTCTGACCTATAGACACACTCAGTTCTTGGTCGTCTAGTGGGTTGAACCAAGGAGCTCAGGGAGCCCCAACGATGCTGGAATCTGAGCCCTCAGATCACTTGGCCTCTGCTGGGAGCTGGTGGGTCATAGTGTCAACAAGAGGGGTAGCGGCTTAGGATTTGAGTAACCCATGCTTGTATGTGATTGGGCCACTAATCGAGCATGGCTAAACGTGAGCTAAGTGGTAGTAACCAAACCACCAATCAGTAGGCAAGAATTCGGTACCCAGTGTATGCCTGATACAGTGCTAGGCCTAATGAGAGCTGTGGTCACTGGGCTGGGATCCACAGAGCTTAAGATCTAGCCCAGAAAACCTCAGTCGTAACAGGACAGTTCCAGAACAAGAAAAAGTTTACACGTTTGTCTGCCTCCACAGAGGACTGAAAGCAGTATGCTACTGAAAGGGGCGGGGGAGAGGGAGAGAGAGAAGGAACCGCAGCAGGGTAAAAGGGGCACAAGGAGAGAAGAAACAAGTAACCAAGTGATTTCTGGAAGGAGAGTGTGCAGGCTGTAGGGAGGAGACAGGCAGGCTCCTGTGGAAAGGGGAGACTGGGAGAGGAGAAGGAGAAGGTAGGTGGGGAGGACGCTCCGTGAGCCCAGCCTTGGGGGTAGAGGCACCGTGGACAGAGGGGTCTTAGGGAAAGGGGGTGATGACTTGGAGCAGACGCAACTGAGTTGGTTCTAGAGCAGTCTGTGGAGGAGGAAAGGGTTCTCTACATCCCCTTGGGGACTAAGAATGTCAGGGAGCCTGCAGGTGTAAGCCCTTTGCCAGTGCCCCTTTTTGTCCTCACTACTGGGACAGTGGAGTGTTAACCCTCACGACTTCAGGTCATTTAAGGTATGAGCCCAGTCCTGCCTCACCTCCTCCGTTGTACGCCTTCACCTACATCCTGCAGGTCCTGTCTCTCCTCCTGGCCGATGCTCCTGCCATTCCCTGGGCCTGGAATAAATGCCTTTCCTGCTATCTCTGTCAGCAGATCCAGCTCCTTGTTTTCCTGACCTTGGCTACCGGCATTGTTCATTGGACCCCTGGCTGTGACATCATTGAGTGTTTATGGGTATGTGTGTGTGCAGGTGCAGCCATACACAGTTGTCAGGGCAGAGGCCTTGTGCTGGTAGCTGAGGACGTTTCCCCACCTGCAGAATAAAATGAGGAGGCTTTGCAAGAAGCCAGGCTGTGGTTCTAGTTAGGGACCTGCCACTAACTTTCATTATTAGACACAGTCTCGCCCTCCTTTGGACACCCAGGACTGGCTTCCGGGCAGGAAGCTGATGTCAGGCTGCTCCTGTGTCCCAAGCCTGCAGAAGGCCTCCTTCATGGCCCGGCATCTTCCAGCCCTGGAATAGCCTTGTTGTCCAACAAGTGACAACAGTGAACCCTGATTTTTGGCTCCTGTGAATGCTAGAAAGTACTTTGATGCCCTTCTCCTCTCTAGACCTGCCACAGTCCTGGGAGCTCTTACCCTTACCGTGTGGCAAGTGAGACTTGTGAAGTGGAGAAGATGACTGGCTGGCCCAAAGCTCACAGCATGGCAGAGTCCCTCAGTTACAGTTCTGCCAAAGTATATTTAATATCACATGTCAGTGACTGACTTGACTCACTCATAATGGAGCAGAAGAATGCAAAACTGGTTGACAAGGGCACTTGAAAGATAGAGATTTGTATATTTAGTTGGAGAAGATATGCTGAAATAAGTTTGCTAAATTAGAGATGAAGCTGGCTACTGTCTCATGGGGCAATAAAACTATCATGTTTGTGGTTCTATCCTGGAAGAAAGTCTTTGGCACTTTCACATACATGCACATCCCTACTTGGGCACAGATGCCCACAGGGTGCATAGGACTTCATGAGGTCTGGGCTGTAAGAACAAAGGTAGGTGCCAGGCGTCGTGGTGCATGCCTGTAATTCCAGCACTCAGGAGGCTGAGGCAGGAGAATTGCTGTGAGTTCAAGACCAGCCTGGGCTACATAGTGAGTTCCAGAAAAGTCTCAACTACATAGTGAGACCCTGTCTCAAAAAACAAACAAAAAGAACAAAGGTATGTGTTTCTTAGTAATTAAATAACTGATGCTCAGCCCTGCCCCAAGGACGCTGAAAACACCTGCAGTCCTTCTGCCTTTCGCCCAGTGTTATGGATTCTTCTCCTCTCCCCTCATCCTCCTCCCCTCTCCCCCCGTCTCCCCTCCTTCTGTCCCCTCTTCCCTCCCTTTCCCTCTAACCCAGGACTTTCACACTGAGCTCCATTAGGGTCTTGCTATGTCATTCAATTGCCCAGGCTGAGCTTGAACTTGCAGTCTTCCTGCCTCAGCCTCCCAGATCACTGGTGTGACCGGCATGTGTGTGTTAGCACACCCATTTGGATAGTTTTTCTCAACAGCACAGAGGACTTCCTCCTTGCTCTTGCCTCCTGACCAGTGCTGAACACTTGAGGTGTGTGACCCTGAGACCTATCAGCTTAGGCTCCCCCACTCACAAGACTGCTGCGCTGCACTGGCGGCTGCAGCTGGGCCTGTTGGATCCTCCATTTGGTGGCTCCTCTGCCCTGAGCAGCAATTCTGAGATGTCTTTTGTGTGGAATTCTAACAGCACGGTATTCCTGTGGAGTGAACTGTTCCCCACAGTTTGAATTTTCAAGAATTTTAAGTGATAGGCAGCGCAGCAGCAGCCCTGCTCCTCTTCTTGAAGGAGAAAAAACAAAACAAAACAAAACAAAACAACCCAAAACCCAAACTCAAAGGTCACATGACTGGAAGGGGCCAGGCTCAGCTTTGAACCCAGGGCCACATGCCTGTTTTCTGTGCTGCAACCGCTTGGCTGACATTCTGAGGTGGACTGGCCATTTCAGACAGGCTTGTCAGCACCTGCTCCATCACCGTTTTTTCTGTGTGCTCTTTTGTGGGTTTGTCTGCTCCCCTGGACCAACCCCTTCTCCCTCTCCTGGGTTTCTCACCTTGGGATCTAGCTGGAGACCAATGGTCCATCTCACGAGGATATCCATTCCAAGGACTGGCATTTTCACAGCTTCTGCTTCCTCTTAGGAACTGTGGGTAAAGCTTTTATGACCCTGTT